CTTGGGTATTTCAGCACGAGAAACAAGTCGACATGGATGCGCACTTGAAACACGACACAAAAGTTGCTTCTTTTATAAAAACGGCCACAAGAGCTCGTAATTTTCAGAATTTTTACTTTAACAAGTCAAAATGATAATAAAGCTTTACAGCTCGAGAAGCTTTGGGAAAAGTTGGTCGCAAATACACTTATTGCGATGAAATCGCTATGTCTTCAGCGATAGATTTGAAGCGAGTGGCTCGCAAAATCAACTATTTCAGAGTAGACGTAGAACTTACAGGATCTTACACTAGGTCAGTTTTGCACCATCTCTGCAGCAGAAGCTACCATTTTCATTAGGTGAATTTTCGCGACAGAAGACCATTGCCGAATCCACTTTCGTGTGTTTTAAGATATCAAAGTGCGAAAGGAGAAATCGTATTGTACTGTATTGTAAATTGTATAATACAGTACAATACAATTGTATTATTTATGAGATTCTTTGAGCAGTTACACTAAGATTTTGGAGAACGATACTATGTAAAAATAGTTTTGGCACACTTCGCTTGTAAGAATAACATAATTATGTGTACATTGATAAGGTTCCTAATTGATCGCTCATCCATGGAAAGTTACTTCTTACTGATACTGTGAAGTTTGCTTGAATACAAAAATGAAATAAAGCATAGTAGTGCGGTAAACATGAGGTAGTTAACAAACTCCAGTTTGAGCTTTTGACTTCATTGCGAAGTATACCGAAATTTGGTGACCTGGAACTTGTGAAGATGTTGTTCCATACTGCGCACCCAAACTATCCAATGCACCAGTCGCATCGGGAAGGCAGGAGGGAGGGGGATGGGGCGTTGGGGGAGGGGGGACGGGGAAAAGAGGAGACCCCCTCTCCCCCCAAAAGTGGCCGAATGAGAGTAGCCTACATAGAACTATAGTGCAAGTGAATTGTTCTTGCTCGTTGAGTAATAATTTGTTAGAATTTTTTCGAAAATCAAGTTGGCTTCGAAAAACTTTTGCGAGACGTAAATGCATCACGCCCCTTTTCGGAAATTTTCGGGTCTGGACCTCAGAAGAATTTCTTAGAAATGCGTGGCTAATTCCATATCCCTCATTCAAGCTCCCCCCTCCCCTTCTTACCAACATCTTTACTGGCTTCGCCACTGCGAAGCAAATAATTGCGGCATCTCTTTTCTAATCAAGATATGTCACTTTTAGAGTAAAGGAAGAGCGCATTAGAAACTGCAGTGCTTATTGTAGAGTAATAGTAGAACGAAAACAGAGTAAGAAAAATTGACTACTTCAATTCATAAGGTTACAAAACTTCAAAAATATAGCAACTTTACTCAGAATTGAACACTTATCACTCCCTCGAACATAAGCACTTATTATAGATTTCCGCACTCAATACTACGTTTCCTTGATACAGCGCTTTTCACTCACAATTCTCTTGGACGTTTGCGCATTTTTCAGAGGGCAAGTGGTCGTGGATTGGTTGGATGTGCTGTGGACAAAAGACGAGGCCGGTTTCGTTGCTGCACAGGGAAAAGATCAAGTTGGAAAACTACCTTTCGTCAAATTTGTGGCATCTTGCAATGCAAATGTGGTAGATACATGGATGAACAATGCTGTGTTGCAGAAGCCGGGTCCATGGTGATATCAAATCCATTGATAATAGCAATAAACCTGTGGTCAGAATTGTTATTCGCATAGCTTTAAAAATGTTTTTCATGTAATAGTAAAAAGCAGTACACTAGTATCCTATAGGCGCTCCACAAAACGCTTGAACAAAGCAGCTTATGCAAAAATTTAGAATTCGTGAGTGCTTGTTATTGCGACTATAAATCATTGCAGTCCATGCAAGTGAAAGAGGTTTTTTTATATTATTTGTGTGAAATATTACAAAAGTTCTTCTAATTATGAAGACATTCGCAGAAAAAACTCACATAACTTCTACATAATAGATGTAACGCTTCTTCTTCCCATCGGGGTGCAAGTAATGGGATGAAAAAGCAAATCTGCTCAAACTTTTCTTTGACCAAATAATAAGACCTTAGGAATTTATAGGGGTTGATCGTAAATCAAACCACTTTGATATCCTCCCTGTACTCATTGATACAATTTCGATGTTTGTTCTCAGCA